TAACATGATGTAGAATTACAAGAGAACTCATAATGAAAGATTATACAATCACAAATTACAAAGTGATAACAAAATCAATGAAAAAACTCAAATCATAAATTTTATTTCACAATAATCTCATGGTCACAATTTTTATAAAAAGAAGAATTTGCTCTTCCCTCTATTAATGTTTTTGAAGCACAAATGTCACAAGTGACTTACTTAATTTACTTACAATAGATTTACAATAGAGTGGAAGCCCCAAACATGCTACTCCATTTCCCCTCCCCTTGCAAGGGGAGGGGAAAAAAAATGCAGAGTACAAGTTCACTGCGGAGGGAAAGAGCACAAGGGGAAGCCGCGAGGGAAAGGGCCCGATGGTCGAGCGGGAGTGGGGCGAGCTAAAGCGGGAAGGCCTCCATGGTCGAAGCGGGAGGTCGGGCTGCTGGGGGAGGGGGTGGGGATGCGGGCCCGGGCGGGCAGAAATCCCTCCCGGGCAGCGCTCGCGTTCCCCCTTTTTTTAGGAGCCCTTAGTGACCCTCCTGATAGTTTTGAGTGAGACTCTCCACTTCGCTAGATCCTTTGGATCTTCCAGCACAAGCCTGAGAATGAACGCACCCAGCAATTCGGAGCCTTAGTGCAGCAGCATCTGATCACGTTACAACGCATGAAAAGGGATACTGTCTAAGTGCTCCCAGAATGACAAATGACAAAATTTGCAGGCAGGTGCAGGTCGAAGTCGGAGGGATGTTTCGACACCTCCTTGTACAGAGCACTCGCTTCGCCGCGCTGGGCACTGGTCTGTTGAGAACCAACACTGATTACCAAGGACTTAATGAGGTCGATCAAAACTCTAGTGTGCTAACCTTGCAACACGAAAAGTTGGCTCGACTTCTTTTGAGTCATCCGGGGTCGCGGTCCTTGGAATGCTGCGGCACGACGAAGACCTCAGTGATAGTCATGTCGTTTCAAGAAATTAAATTTGACCATTTATTTGATATTGAGTATAGCATTCAACCGCTCCTTCCTAACCAGGTTAGCTTCCTATCACTTGAAATTACTTTATTCGCTGTATCCAAATACAAGCAGATTAAATTCTCCTTTGGACCATCAACTTGAGGTAGGGTGTGCGTTTTTAAATCATCTCCATCTTACTTCACCATGTCATGTCATTCAGATTCTCTTTCAAACGCTAGAACAGAATTTTCTCTATCAACATTTGTGACATTTGTCTTTAGAGTTTTTTTTGTTCAGTAACTACCTCGCTGATGTTTCAATATCTTATGTGTTGTATAGAAATTTGCGACTTTGATTCATTATGATATTTTTTAAGTTACCTTGCGGATTAAGGTATTGATAGTATGGAGATTTCAAAAAAATTCAAGTTTCAGAAATGAAAAACACAATGAGATCAAGAATCATGTGTGAGAAAGTGTTAGTTTAGTTTTGGGAAACATGAATGGTTGTCTTTGTGTGTAGTTCTCACCGGATTGAAAATCTATAAAGATGGTGAAAAGAAAATGTCCAACGACTTTGATTTTGGTTATATACTTGAACTACCTTCATTGCGGAGTTAGCGCGAACTAGTCTTTGAGCTGAAACTCGTCAACAAATTCTTGTGTTTGTTTGTGTGTATATTATGATTTTTGTTGATTATGGGAATTCAAATCCTTACAATGGTACCAGAGCATCGTAACATCGATTTTGATTTCACATCTTCGTCACTTCTATCTCCTACGCTCGATTCACCCTGGCGAATTCGGAAGACTCGAATCGTCTCGCAGAACGCATCGGCGAGCTAGAAAGCAACAACGATCTTTCACGGCAAAGCACCAACACGAATTTGTCACAATGAAGCGTATAGAGTCTCAATTCTTGGAATTCTTTGCTTGTAATGAGAGTTGACATCGAGAAATTTGATAGCACTTGAGAATTTTGCATCTAGCGCCGAAAAATCTCAAAGCTTCTCGCTCAGCAAAGATTACACATGGTCATATCCAACCAAGTTTCATGGCCTGAAGACATTTTCCAAGATCAAAGAGAGAATGTCTGAAATAACTATGGATACGATAATCTTTCACCTGTCTGACTCAATTATCTGATTAATTGACAAAAAAAATATACAATTGAAGGTGTGGAAGAAACTTGAAAAGATGTTTCAATCTCGCTTTCTCTCCAACAATATCTATTTGAAGGAAAGTCTCTTTGAATTCAAGATGAAGAAAGTAGTTGAAAGCCAACTTAGACAAGTTCTTGAAGATGACGATGGAGCTCGCAAATTCCAACGACAAGGAAGAACTCAACAACGAGATAAGACAATCATTATTGTGATAGATAATTGTATTAATTGGATTTCTTTGCCCCCAAGTTGTTCAAAGCTATATAAAGTACTATATACTACTCTTTATTATTATAACTTACTAAATAGGGCTCAACATGGTAGAGATAGTCACGTTGCAAGGTGCACGAGATGATTGATTTGGAAAGATGTTTCTTGAAGGAGATGATAGCCAAGTTCCAGAGAGCAGGTGCGATGAATAACTCTTGAAGCAGACTGTTTTCTTAAGCTTGTAATTGAAAACAATACTATAAACAATATTAGTCTATCGAGATTTGGGATTTTTTAACAAATAGTTTAATTTTTTCACTATTCTAATGTTTGATTCTCTCTTGCTGATCTTGATATCATGTTATGCTATTGTTAGACTTCCTTGACTTTACAAAATTTTGGGCACCAGTTTTTGAATTTAAATTTATTGTATTTTTAGTGAAATTTCTCATGTTTAGGAATTTTTTTTCTTGCTTTGATATTAATTGTAAGGATCAATTAACGAAACACACATTAAACTCAAAGCCAAAAAAACGTGATTGGACTACACAAAAATATAATGGTTTATTGAAAACCTGAAACTATGTTTGTTGCTAGTTACATCTCAAAATAGTACAAATCAGAGTTCTTAAATCCTGTTTATCTGAATTATCATTAAAGTAGCTAACTTTTTGATCATAAGATACTTTCTATTGTGATCATGGATGAAAAAATCTTCATCTTGTATGATATTCATTTTTTGTCTATTGCAAGAATTGGAATCTACTTATAACATAGTGGATGTCCGATTGTTACAAAATTGTCCAAGTGCAAACATTATTAACACATTTTGTTTTCAACTTATATTTGAATATTGTCATGAAGAATATCAAATGATCTATGAATAAGTTGAGAACCTCTCGAATCCATACAACTTTCATTTGTGTTTAAAGTTGTGTTCTTGCGATTTCTTGAATGTCCCTAAGATTTGCACATTACTTACACTCTTTGGACAAAGTCAATTCATAGCTTGTAAAGATTCATAATTTGTCAATTAACGTCTTCGTTTGCGACTTTACCTCAAATCGATTTGGAACTAGCCTCGAATCGTTATCGCGTTATCAATCTGTGTGTAACAGAATTGCATCATGATTCAACAACGAACTCTTGTCTTCTTAAAATACACAACGATACGTATCCTGTTTCCATAAGTACAAAAGAAATGAAATGCTCACAGCCACCATGCCCAACTGTTATCAGGAAATCTACCGCCCCAGTCTGAATACCTTTCCTTGCCACCGGGATTTCATACGTTCCCGCAGCTAGATGATTGATCTAGTGGCATGCTTCGAATGGACAAATATACAGACAATGCATTCTGAATTCCACGGTGATGGCAGACTACTCACCAGTTCAAAAAATCTCGCCACCAGAAACACGTCTGCTGCCATTTCTGCAAACATGCACCACGTTGCCAGACACGCCAATTCCAAGGATTTTCAAAGGATCATACACATACTTCACAAAAGTCATTTTGTGTTCATGTGTGGACATGTGTCCCTGGAAGAATTTCCCGTTCGTGATTTCAGCATGACCACATTAGTGTATTTCCACTACTGCAGCCTCGAGATCAATCCCTTCTGAATTAACTCCCTTGCTTAAAGACTTTACAGCAGACGCCCACACTGCTATTTGATCATATATTCTGTTGATACCGACAGCATTTGGAAAGGGAAGCAGTTATTTAGCTTCAATTTTTACATAGATTGTTTCGACCAACCAATTTCGAGTAAATTTCAGTATAGATAACAGATGGAGCGCTACATGGGTAGCTAGACGCAGTCAATTATCTAAAAGTGATTCGGAGTCTTTACTCTTGACTCACTGCACCATCCTCAACGTAAAACTACAGTGTCTCTCCAATCACAAGCCAAACATATGGATCAGGAGGTTCTGGACTGAAACCCCGACGCGTGTTGCGAAGGCCAAGTCGAAGAGGAAAGTCCATGTGTGGTCGGGAGCATGCAGACATCCTACCTCAGATTTGACAAACTAATTGTACACCGCAATGAAAGCTCTGGGTTTCGCTCAATTTGCTTAAGGTTGAGACGGAGGAATTGGAATGTAGCTGTGTATGGAGTATATCGGTCATGTTTTTTAGTGCTGCAAGAGAATCTGTAACTGAATATCCACACGCAGTCCAACTGCGGAAGCATTCGTCTACGAAAGTAGTATATTTCTACACGTGACAGGTTTGAGCGAGTTGGCCCTTATAGTATCCTGAGATGATTATGATTATGTAGATACCAGAATCAAAAACTGCGTGTCAAGTTTCAGTAATGTCTGTGAGTGTATGTACATAACTCTGTTCGTCCATGACGAACAGAGTTATAAAGATTATGTATAGAAATTTTAGGGTTTAGGGGCAAATTTTTGTAGTAGAAACTGATCTTTTGTTCAAACACGGCTAGTCGCTGAAATTGAAAACATAACATGATCTTCATTCCTGTCCATTATACAATTGTTGGACCTTGATCATGCAACAACAGAAGAATAATTCAGGTACATGTATTGAAGTTCAAGGCGACCAACCCCACGTTTCAATCAAAATGATTTCATCATGGTGAGACTTGCAACAAGACATACTGAACACTCTGCCCTGAACAAGTAATCTGGATAATTTAACCAAACACTCATCTTCTTCAGAAACATAACTGCGCGGATTGACATGACTGCATAACTTATAAAAGGCCTAAAACCAGCGAAAACTGTAAGGAGGATTATGCAAAGGTTTATATTGCAAGAGGGTCTAAACATATGCTTCTCAATTGCATAATGACATTCTAACCTCTTTAAAGTCCTAACATGTCAAACTTCCGGAAAGACTACCTTTGCACATGCACTCCGCGCACACCCATGCATGCCCACCATTTTGTTGTCTCACGTACTTCACCTGACACAACTTGAAGATTCTGGGAATGCTATCTCTAAGCTGAGGCGCAAGAATTTGCTGAATCCTCAACCATGCTTCGTTGAGCTGCACGCTATGCCCACCATTTCGAATTGCCCAACGATCAATATCACTAATATTATCTAGCTTAACAATATCAGTTTTTAGATCATCCCATTGCGGAATAGCTTCACCTAACCCGAGGGTTCCATCCAGTCCGGCCTTTGCAGCATAATACATGACTTTGTATGAAATCTCAATAACTCTTGGAATCCATCCGCTATTCTCCCGATCCAATCGCAGCCTCAAACCTTCTTGATCTTTGACGGGGTGAAACCCAGTGACGGCCTCACACATCAAGCGTAAGCGAACGGTTGTTCCTAGATGCAGACTTGCACTGATCCTGTAAAAAATGCCAACATCGTCTGTGACGTAAGGTCGTTTGGGCGTTCTAGACTGCTGATGTGATTCTGAATACTCAATGACCCTGTCAACTTTAGACATGTAGGCACCCAACGTTGACTGTAGTTGTTGTTGCAGGGATATAATCTGTTCCATCTTCACATCCAATCCCTGCACAATGCTCTTCACTGATCTCACAGTTTCATGCACACTGTGAACCTTTTCTCCTAGCTGATGGATCTCGGACAAAACAAGTTGGGTGTCCACACTTGTGCTGGCTTGTCTTGAGCAGGTAGCTAAAGCTAGATTGCAATCTTTTATGTGAGGTAAACTCGAGTTGGTAACCCTGTTCTCGCTTTCAGGGTGAGACTGAGCCAAATCATTGTTCAATCTGATGAGGCTTTGCTGCAATGACTCCAATTGTTGATTGCGCTTCTGTCGAATTTCATTCACAACAGCTTCCACATCGCTCTTCCACAGCAAATTCGTAGCCTTTTCGAATGTTGCGTTTAAGTGCAAAGCTGGAATCGGAGGCCATGTATACTCATAGTGGAGCAACTCTTCCTCCTTCACCAATTGCGACCTATCCAACGCAATACCCCTAAGTTTCTTATTGATGTCATCAAAGAACTCTGATTTGAGCTCCTTAATCAGAATGGCTCCTCTTAGATGACTCGGAATCAACATCTCCACGCAAATTGTTTGGATCACACCGAGGACTAACGCCACCCCAGGACAGCCATTGGGTGATGCGCAAAATGATATTAACTCATGGACAATATTTTCCAGAACATATTTGATGGCCGCTTCCTTTGACTTATGCTCCGAGCATAACATCAGAACATCTACGTAATTGTGGGAATTTTCACTCTGAACGTGCTCCACAAAAATTTGATGACCATCGAGATAAAGTCTCAAGTAATGTCGGGAGAATGTCACCGTCTCCTTGGAAACATGCATCTCGGATATCAACTTGCGTCTCATGAACACCTACAATAACAAAAAATTTGTAATTATTGAGTGAAACATTCTACTAATTTGATTATTATAAATGAAAAAGAAAAATTGTACTCATGTTGCACATACAACAATCATAATTTGACAAATTCATTATATTCATGATTCAACCTCACCTGAAAGCGTGGAAAAAAGGCAGCAGTCAATGACATTGTTTTTAGATCTTCGCATTGAATTCGAATGCCGACAAACTGTGAAGTTGCAACCTTCGAATCCCATGCCATCGACTTCGCGTGCGCCCCTTTTTGATGCTTCTGTTCTTCCATGCTTGCATGCTCACGGATGAAGGAGGGAATGAAATATTGAGAAGTATCTTCAAGCTTGAAACCCAAGTCTAAATTGAAAAGAATCTTCTCGAGGATCTCTCTGTCAACATTTTGAAGACGTGGTTGTTTTCCCAGGAACGTTTCCATCAACTGATCAAAGACACTCTCATTCACAAATCCGTCCTTGCTTTCGGTTGAGTCCCTTGAGATCGTTCTCCCATAAGCCTTGGACTCTTGAGCTTGAAAAAGTTGACCCACAGCTATCAACTCACCCAAAAATGAATTCGTGAGCCAGTTCGGATCCACGACAATGTGATCAAGGTTGGGAATATAAATGATGGATCCAACATCATTTAAGTAGGAAACGAGGGAAGTTAATATCCGTGAATGATCAACAGAGTTAGCAGAAGATGATGGAATGAGCTGTTTCAAACTGCGATCACAAAAGTCATGAAACTTTTTCAATGGCCAAAGAGGGCATGTTCTGTTCGCCTTGATGTTTGAAAGCAGAAGGGCAGAGAGTTGAATACACAATTGGGGAACAAGTGGAGATTTTTCACTAAACAAATTCTCGAAGATCTCAAAAATGTGATTTTTGAGAGGAATCACTTGCTTCTTCTTCCGAGAATCAACATAAAGAAAGTCTTGAATAGGGCGGAGATCCACATAGTTTGCAAAAATTTTTCTAAGTTCTTCCACTATGGAGTGAGCCCAAGTCAAAGAATTGGAAGACATTTTATCCTTGTGTGAAATTACAACAAGAACTTGTGGAAGATTATGGCCGGTGACCTTCATGCTGGATGCGATGAAAGTCAGCCAGCCCTCCAACTCATTCCGGAAACAAGAGTCTAGTTTGCGAGAAGATGTTTCCTCACGGTAGGGGCTATACACAAAAAGAAAAACACAAAAGTCGCTGGTTTGAGGGAAGAGTACAGTTTGAAGTGTACGAAAAATCCAATGTCCAGCAAGATCCCAAACTGAGATTTGCATTTTGTCATTGTTTTGCAAGAACTCAACTTCAATTCCTTTAGTCCTCCGCAATTCATCCCATTTGTTCCCGATCCAACTCTTTCCTTGAATTATCGTCATCAGGGTTTGACGCAACTGAGTCTTGCCTGTACGTTCAATAAAAAGCAAGTGTTACTCATGTAAAGATTTCATAACTTTAAAATCTTTACTTATTATTTGATATGATATTGTCTAAAAATAGTGTAGATAATGGGATTCAAGATAATTCCTAATTTCCCAAAAGAATCGGAACTATCCAAACAAAACTATTTGGAATTTTGTATGATTTTATTTTCTACTATTTCCGTTTTGAATTTCAGAGACTTAATTATATATACAGATCCAGAAATAAACTTTGCAACTTTAAAGCTGAATGTAAAAAAACAAGACATTATTTTGCTAGTTTGAACACAATGATAAAATAAGAGGAAAAATTGAAGAGCATCTAACCTGCTCTAGGAGAGCCGCATAAGAAGAGTCGGCCAGCTTTTGCCTCTCCAAATTGTAGTTGGGCTTCTCTGAACGCGGTCATGTACACGGCTCGCTGCTGGTTTTGCTTGAGGGCCGCTTCAATCCGCGCAGCCTTTCCGTCCGCTTGCCACGGGGTCTCAGACACATCTATTTCCCTGAGAGTCAAGTTCACTTGCAAGAGCCTCATCAGGTCCCTGAACTCTTCCTTGAATCCTTCATACCTTGAAAGCCAGGGGATGGACCCTAACCCTAAAGGGATAGACAAAGTCAAGCTAGTGACTCTTGTGTTACCACGTAAGCACCAAAGTAGTTGCTTCCAGACTCCCTTGAATATATCTTCGTTATACAACTTTAATTTGAGTCTACTCAAGACTGAGGTTTCTCCCGTTTTTCCATACATCGGAAGAATACTTTCCATACTCTTTTGATTGCCAGTTCTAAACCCACCTGAAATGGAAGAAAATAACTGATACAGACAAAAAGATTGTATAGACTTGATTTCCCCTCGCAGTACTCTGCCTAAAAGGTTGAACGCTGACACTACTTCATCGTAATCCTGAGGTAGGTTTTCAAGATGCAGCACGGGTTCCTTCCCATCCGAGCTAGCTGCGCAGGCAAGCTCTTCTAGTTCTTCCAAAAGAAGTCCTGATTCTAAAAGGGTACTTATGGAAACATTTGTCACTGTGGCATTGTCACGGATGGCTTCGCCTAGCAAGCGCCATTCCTCCAGAGGCATGGCCATGTTGTTCAACATCACTGCCCTCAATGATCGATTGGAAATGAAAATTTCTCTCAAAAATTTTCCGAGTCCAGATATTTCTATCAGCTCAAGACGTTCAATCGATCGGTTGCCATCATCTCCGGCCAATGCATTCAGCAATAAGGCGGCAGATCCGCCCTCCACTTCAGTTAAAACCAATTTTGTTAACGACGAGTTCTGCTTCAAAGCCTGTGACAAGAGCCGAACGGCCGCCTCGTCCCTTTTGTACAAAATGTGATATTCTAACATATACGGCCTATACCCCTCGCGCGAGTGCTTGCCTAAACTCAAAGTTTCTAATCGACTATCACCGTTCAACATCTCAACGACATACTTCACCGCACTTGCGTTCTCCCAGGCCTGACGTAGTTGTAAAGACTTGAGTTTCGATTGGTAATTTTCTCGCAGTCCTGATGCGAGATTCAAGAAAAATCTCGGAGTCAATCTGCAATCCTCTATCGTCAAATGTGCTACACTAGAGCTATTCAGAATTACCCCCAGCTGTAAACCCAAGCTTTCCACTTCCGCCTCGGAACTCCATGTCAGTTGGCCAATTTCCATCTCTCGTAGAACGCTGCTGGAATTAAAACCTCTCAAGACTACCTCCCACTCGCTAGCGGTCAATCTGGATATATGACGGCCACAAATACCTTCTACGATCAGCGTTTCAAAGCTCCTGCAGCTGCCGATTGCCTCCAGCACTCGAAGTCGCACTTGGCTTCGCCACCCTGTGTTCGTCGAGAGCGGTGCACGCTCCGGGAAGAAATCCTCTAATTCTGGACAGCTTAGTATGGGAGGCAACGATACATGCATGGCTTTCCCTCCCAGACGCCGTATAAGGTCTTGGACAGCGGGCGGAAGCTCTGGCTCCTCGTCTACAGATTCCATTTCCCCTATCGCAAGTTCAGGAGCGCGACTAAGCATAGACGCACCTTCTCCTTCCATTCTGTCCTCAAAAGAGCAAGAACCGATTGCTCCTAAGCGCGCGGGAGAATTGTAACCGAGCCTAAAGAGTCCCCCTACTCGATCCGCAAGCCTCGTTCACTCGAAGAAAACTGAACTTTCTGACACAACTCGACTGCATGATACTTCTAGCGCGGTGTAAGAAGAACGACCCAGAGTACTCCAAGCTCTGCTTATACGGGGATTCTGATCGTGCAAAGTGGAAGCAAAGTGGAAGCAGGACGCTGCTTGAAGTAACTGTAAGGAAGGTATGTAAATGAAAGTAAATGGAATTGAACCTTGATAACCTGGACTCTGGTTCCAAGGTAGCTCGTATAGCATGTGCTAAAGGGATTTCACGTCTCTCGAGATCGAAACCTTTTTTGGGCTCCAACAGGGAGAGGCGAGTGATGTGGTGACCGAACTGGTAGACAAGATGATAGCTATGGTGAATCTGAAATGGACAACACTATTTCGTATCAAAGATGGCGGGATCTGGATGCAAAATGTCATAAAACTCATGGAGGTGAAGATTTCAGATGGGAAGTACTCTGAGATGTGAAAAACTGGACGTAGAATTGGACTGGGAGAATGCGAGTCTAGCTGCATCAAGATCCACGTGACGACAGATCCTACAATGGGTAGCGCGTGGGAAAAAAGGCATCGTCTTCAATCAGATCTTGTCGTTGAATCGTGTGAGCGGTCGATGTAACGACAACACGCGAACACAACAAGCGCGTTCTTCCACATTCGGTGTGATTGGCAAACGGTCTTAGAAGGTGGGAGTGAATCTTGACTTTGTTGTGCAAGCGAACAGAATACGTGGATGAATGCGTCAGTGGCACGATACACTCGATATCGTCACGCTGAGAGCGGAGATTTTGAAGTTTATCTTCATGGAATCAATCTCCTGGAATCTGTGATGTATCCAAGCGAGCGAATATTTTCTGAGAAGTCAGTGGCATAAGCGTGCGAATCTTTTCTGACAACTCAGTGGCATATGCCTAATCAGTTTGGCTGACAAAACTTGGCAGGCTTTTTTTCTTGCTTTCAAGATCGGTAAAGTCGTCTACATAATTCGCGGGTTCAGAACAAACTGATCAGCCTTTGGGTAGCTCACTAAACACTGTCGAAAAACTGTGTGTAGAGTGTATGAATACTCGAGGGTCTCCATTGCTGGCATGATTGTTCTTCTAGCTTCTTCTAGCTCAATAGTGGAGCATGTGAGCACATGCACAATTGTATTCCAGAGGTCTTTAGACGTCAAATAATAAAAAGAAAGCAAACTTCGTCCGTGCAAAGAGTTCTCTTGCTCGTTTATCACGTCCTAGAGTTGTATCATGGTGATACATGCGAGAAGTTTGCTTGCTCTTGAGTTTGTCGCTAATACAGGTGTAGAAGAATGAAAATCTATGAACCACAATTATGCTGGCTCCAATCGGATTGGGTACTTCAACCGTCTTGCTTCTTAAAACGCACAGTCCTTGTATTTGCACGGACCCAGAGGTTATCTTCCGTAAAAATGCAATGCTTTTTAGAATTATCTCCTAAATGAAGTAATTCCTATTGTCATAAAAAATGACAATAGATTCACCTATATTTTTAATTACTGTACCTAGTGTATGTTAATATTTTTTAAATCAATTTATTGTTATGATATGGAGATCTGATTTCGCTTCGATCAAGTATAATATTCATGTATCTTGCGTCTAGCTTCCTTGCCATGCCAGACGCAAGACGCATGTCTTTGTTTGTTCATTAACATGCTTATCTTCCAAGAAGTAATACAGTTCGTTGCTTCTACGTGAGGTCATACAAATTCCTCACGGTTGGAAGTCACGAAGTCTCTAGATTCATCTAAATTAGTGCATAGTTAATAAAGCATCTAAGCTATACATTAATACACCTACATTAATTCAGCTTAATAATACAAAATTAATCTAAATTAGTTCAAACAGTATCATAAAAAAATTATGTACTACAATACAAAAGATGTTCACTATGTTTCAACAAATCTTCTAAAACCAACGATTTCTTCTCGCTCAATGCCATTAACAGGACATAGAACCCTTAGTGAAATTCTTGTGATGCACTAACATGGTTTACTGAATTTTCTATGATAGAGAAACAGTTTTGGAGAATAATTCATTATGACATCGTGGCAAAATCTGCGTAGTTAATAATGCATCTAGCCTCTACATTAATACACACCTACACCTAAACTTGCTAGGCACAACCTGGTTTTTGTTTGTATTTTCGCCTACTGTTACAGAGTATGCTACCACAGCAGACCAGCATCGGAGCCAGTTGACGATATTGCCCTGGATCTGTTCTTACACGTGCGTATGGTGGAGGAATCGACAAACCCAGCAATGCCACAAAGCTGGTGACGAGCATGGCCTTGTTTGGTGACGAGCACACCTGCTTGCACCAAAGTTCAGGACTCTAGCACGAGCTTCGTGGTTTCAGTGTCTACCTTCAGTGTCTCTCGGAGCCCAAGATTTTGGCTCCACTTCGAGAGAATTGGATTCAAGTTTTAGCTGCTAGTTCTCACAAGTTGGAGTAGCGAGCGGTTGCCAGAAGGACGGTCTTTGTTTCAAACTTCGTTCGAGTTCCTTGCTTATCCCAACCATTGAGTATCTCAGAGTTCTGTGTGCGGCATTTTCCATCCCTTCCTTGTGGGATCTACAGATAATTCAGCTTTCTTCGAAGAAATAAATCATACATAACGATTGTTGACGGAAAGCTTTGGATTTCGGAGTGAAGCTTTCTCAAAATGTGTGATCTATGATTGAATGTTGGGAGAGAAAGTTCCGTTATAGCCTGCACGATTTAGGAAAAGAATCTGAATGACATGACGTGGTGAACTAAGATGGAGACAATTTAAAAACGCACGTCCTGCTGCAAGTCGATGGTCCAAAGAAGATTGCAGAATGAAAGGACAATTTGATCTGCTTGTATTTGGATACAGCAAATAAAGGAGTTTCAGGTGATGGGAAGCAAAGCTGGTTAGGCAGGAGCAGTTTAATGCTATAGTTAAAAATACAAAGATGCTCACATTAGATTCGTTGAAACGACATGACTATCACTGAGGTCTTCGTCGTGCCGCAGCATTCCAAGGAGCAGTTTAATGCTATAGTAAAAAATACAAAGATGCTCACATTAGATTCGTTGAAACGACATGACTATCACTGAGGTCTTCGTCGTGCCGCAGCATTCCAAGGACCGCGACCCCGGATGACTCAAAGGAAGGCGAGCCAACTTTTCTTGTTGCAAGGTTAGCACACTGGAGTCTTGATCGACCTCAGTGGTCGATCAAGACTTCCTTCATTTTCTCCATACTCTGGAGAAAATGAAGGAAGGCATTATCTTCGGGATTGTGGGGATTTGCAGGAGCTATCATATATAGCAAAGATCCCACTAACCAGGAGAGTTGGAGAATGCCACGCTTAAATCTAGAGTAATATATGAGATGTAGCGTAAAGCTCAGTATCACCATTTGGAGTTTGGAGGTCGAGTGCTTGTGTGGAGCAGGAGTGAGTACATCATCTACTGGCTGCTGCGTCAAGCGACGGCATGTATCTGGGTAATGTTGTGTCCAGAGTAGATGCTTCTGAGTTTCGTGTCCCTGCTGCTCACAGTTGCCCAAAAAGCCCGTACCCATCTTCTGGATCCCAGAAACCAGGAGTAAGAGCTGATGGGCTGCTAAAAATTTGTCGATCGTATTCCAATTGCATTGTGAGAGGAAGAAGACGTGATTATTTTGGTGATTATCTGTAACAAACTACGAAGTTAAACTTGACGAACTTCTATAAATTATCCTTCTTTATAATTTCATCAAATTTATTTATTGAGACCACAGTCGATATTCGAACACGAAATTTCTCACGACCACACGAATATTATTTCAAGGATCGGTGAAGCATGCAATCCTGGGCTGGAATCACAAGCCCAGTGTGATGGAGGAGTGTTGGTTTGGTACAACTGATGGGCAGTGCAAACTTGAGCCCTTTGAATAGAGCTCGCCTTTCTGCCTTTTCGATTACACGAGGTTGAGGATGGTTTCGCAGTGGTGGTGGATCGGAATCCGAACCCGAGCACGTCGGAGTAGGGAATCCAGGCGACGGTTCCTGGTCCTGAACATGCTTCTGCGAGGCCCATGACTCCGACCAGGACAAACTTGGACGTCTATTGGAAATGAGCCTTTTCGAGCCGCTACATATCCCATGATTACGACCTGGTCCAGGTCATTCTATTCCCTGGTCTGTGAAGGAGCCATACATAAACCTGAGCATGGTCTACAAGTCCTGGAATCAGAGTTCCATAAGACTTACCAGAAGTGAGCGTCATGATGCCAGATTCCAGTTGATGCAATCTTTAGTTAGAGAGGTTATATGTCATTAATAAGTATAAATCAACGATACTCGAGACCATATTTAGAGTACGGTTCGTATTGTCAATAAAGAATCGCCAACGAGCCCGTTTGCGATTCTCTTGTCTCGGCGGTGGAGACGTCATCTTCTCTACAGAGCACACCTGCACGAGCATCCAAGCTATCAGGACCTCCCAGAATTTCCGTCTCATACATCTGGCATCGATATACCACAGCAGGAACTGCCAAGTCCCAGTCCATTCGCCAATTTCAAGCTTTTTGTGCCCTATCGAGAAGAAATACTGCCACGGAGGCCTCCTGATAGTTTTGAGTAAGCCTCTCCAGTTCGCTCGATCCTTTGGACCTTCCAGCACAAGCCTGAGACTGAACGCACCCAGCAATTCGGAGCCTTCGTGCAGCAGCATCTGATCACGTTACAACGCGTGAAAAGGGACACTGTCTCAAGTGCTCCCAGAATGACAAATGACCGAATTTGCAGGCAGGTGCAGGTCCACAGGAGGGATGTTGCGACATCTCCTTGTACAGAGCACTTTCACCGACAAGCTGCTTAGAATTGTTCGACGTCCTCGCTTCGCCGCGCTGGGCACTGTCTGTTTAGAACCAACACTGATATCCAAGGACTTGATGAGGTGATCAAGACTCCAGTGTGTTAACCTTGCAACATGAAAAGTTGGCAGTTGTCATGATTTCCTAAAAAGTTGGCTCGACTTCCTTTGAGTCGTCCGGGGTCGCGATCCTTGGAATCCTGCGGCACGACGAAGACCTAAGTAATAGTCATGTCGTTTCAACGAATTAAATTTGACCATCTATATAGCATTCAACTGCTCCTGCCTAACCAGCTTACCTTCCTACCACCTGAAATTCCTTTATTCGCTGTATCCAAATACAAGCAGATTAAATTCTCCTTTCATTCTGCGATATTCTTTGGACCATCAACTTGCAGCAGGACGTGAGTTTTAAATCGTCTCCATCTAAGTTCGTCATGTCATGTCATTCATATTCTTTTCCTAATACTATAACAGAATTTTCTCTCCCAACATTTATGACATTTTTCTTTAGATTTTTTTGTCGTTTAGTAATCAGCTCGGTGATGTGTCCATATACTATGTGCTGTATAGGAATTGGGGGCTTTGATTCTGATATTTTAGAGTTAGCTTGCGGATAGAGGTATTATGACATTTAGTAGATTTCAAGAGATGTCGAGTGTGAGAAATGGGAAACAAATTGAGAGAGAGAATCATGTGTGACTAATTGTTAGTCTAGCTCGGGAAACAAGATTGATGATCTTTGTGTGTAATTCTCACCGGACTGAAAATACATAAAGATGGTGAGAAAGAAAAGTACTAAGACATCCATCTTGGTTATATACTCGTACTACATTCATTGAGAACTTCGCGGTACTAGGCTTTTGAGCAAATTCTTGTGTTTGTTTGTGTGTGGACCTTGATGTATGTTGATTATGGGAATTCAAATCCTTACAATGGTATTAGAGCATTGTAGCATCAATCTTGATTTCAGAGCTTCCTCAATTCTGTCTCTACTGTATTCATCCTGACAGACTTGGAAGCATTGAATCGCCTCGTAAAGCGCATCGGATAGGAGCGACGATCTTCCACAGTAACACAAATTTGTCACAACAAAACTTATTGAGTTTCAATTCTTGGAATCATTTGTCCATAATGAAAATCGACATCAAGAAATTTGACGGCACTGGAGATTTTTGCATCTAGCGCCAAAAATATCAACTCTCCTCATCCAACAGATGATCATATTCGATCTAGTGTCATGGCCTGAAGACGTTTCCCAAGATCAAAGAGAAGAAATGTCTGAAACAATGTCAATGTATATGAGTATGATAATCTCTCACCTGTCACATAAGATTATCGGACTAATTGACAAAGAAGACACCCTAGCAAAGTTGTGGAAGAAGTTTGAGAAGATGTTTTAGTCTCACTCTCTCTTCATCTATCACTTTAGATAAAGTGATATTCATACTCAAATCCAAAGACTTGGAAATCAAAACAGACAAGAAGAGCTCTGGTGATGGCAAAAACTACATGTCTAATGTCAAACACCAACACAAGAACATCGATGAAAATCATTCGAAGTCCAAGAATCACGACAAATCACATACAAACAACCGGAGTCCCAACCCCAACGCCGACAAGAAGTGCTTCTGCAATATGATGGGTCACATCAAGAAGTATTATTACTCATGAATTAAGAAAAATAAGGAGAATCAAGCTAACATATCACAAGGTCACAAAGATTCAGCAAACTTTGATGTTGGCTACAACGACGACAAAGTTCTCATGGCGTGAGGAAATCTCAAGATCTCAGATTGGAATCTTGACTCTAGTTGCACCTATCATATGACACACAACAAGCATTGACTATTGGACAAAAAGAACTCGATGAAGAGAAGCTATTATTGATAATAATCATTCTTGTTATGTTGCTCGTATAGGATCTGTTAGCATTAAAATGATTGACGGTGTTGTGAAAATTCTTGAAAATGTTAGATTTGTACTTGAATTGTCTAGAAATCTAATCTATATTGACATTCTTGATGACTTGAGTTATACTAACAATATGATAACCATCTTTATTTAGTTAGAACTAAAATAGAGATTACTCAAAAGGTTTATATAGTTACTTTAGTACACACTAGTCATAGTTGTCACGTCAGCGATCCGTGTGTTTGATAGATAGAGAGTAAATGTGTTTGTTGAAAGTGTCACGTCAACAACCCGTGTGCTTGTTAGGTAAGGACTGAGTGTGCTAGTTAGTGTGTTAGTTGATGTGTTAGTTGAGAGCGTCACGTCATTAATCCGTGTACTTGTTAGGGTTATCCGCCACGTCATTCATCCATTAGGAATGAGATGTATGGTGGGGATAAAAACTTATCTCCTTAAACTTATTGATAATAGTTATATAAGAAATAGAATCATTGTTGATATCTATCATCTTCAAAGTTTATGTTTCTATCTTCGAGTGAGCTTCTTTCTAAATTCTAGTGTTACACAAGATAGAGCAAAGCTCCATGTATATTGCAAGAGGTGTTATTGTTTTGAATGATATCAAGATAGCCAGTACCTAGTATCAAAGAAACTCTTCATGGAGATGTGTCAGTTGCCATTATTCAAAATGACAACAAAGCTACACTTTGACACCTAAGGCTTGGCCATATCAATGAAAAATGTCTACAAATGATGAGCAATCAAAAACGGTTGTGAATTTACGCAGTCAGCAAACTCAATTTCTACGAGCATTGCATTTTGGCAAAACAACACAAGCAGAAATTTCCAACCGGAAAACACATGTCTATCCAAGTCATTGAGTACATTCATTCAAATTTGTGGTGACCCTCAAGTACAGCAACACATGATTGTAACTTCTATTTCTTATCTATTATTGAATACTTCTCTAAAAAAGTTTGGATATATTTGTTGAAACACAAAAATCAAGCTTTTGATAAATTTAAAGAATGGAATATTCTGGTTAAAAATTTGATTGATAAAAAGGTTAAGATTCTAAGAACATACTATCTTCTTGAAATCTGTAAAGCTGAGTTCGATAAGTTTTGTCCCAATGAGGATATTCAAAGGCATAAAACTATGAGACTAATCCCTCAGCAAAACAAAGTTGTTGAGAGAATCAACAAATCATTGTTGAACAAGTCAAGAAGCATGTTAATCAATTCCAGTTTGGCTAAGGCTTTTTTGAGATGAGTCAATGATCACCGTTGCATATCTTGTGAACAAATGTGTCATTGGGTTCAAGACACTAGAAGAAATATACAATTCAATGCCACTCGATCTCAATCAATTGAGAGTGTTTGAATGCTCTGCCTATGTTCAACAAAATCAAGGCAAAATTGAGCCAATTAAACGTATGTAATTAAACGCGTGTTCCTTGGCTATCCGCAAGGTACAAAGAAGTATCAATTATGGCTAACGGAAGGTAACGATTTCAAAATTATCAATAGTAGATACGTGATATTTAATGAGACTGTTTTTCCTTGTCAATCATGGATTGATCCAAGTCCTAGTGTTACAAGTGTCAATAATCCTACAAAAATCTTAGAGAATATTATTCAGGTGGAGCCAGCTGTTCATGTTACTTCTTTACAACCCCAAGACTAAAGCACCTCAAGTGATCATGAAGATCATGACATACAAGCTCCAAATCATGTCACTGAACCAAGTGATCAAATTAGTAAGGCAACTGCGAACAAGAGGTGACAAGCAACAATAGCTCATAGCAATGTCAACAACATGACTACTTTCTTACCAGGAAAAGAGAACAGAGAATGTCAAGGCCTACACAGAGATATGGCTTTTTTGCAGACTCCGAGATCCTTGCCTACGTGTTCACATCAGCTTTGGAGATTCACATGAAGGAGTTCATCTACTATCAAGATGTTGTTGTTGAATAAGATCTAGAAAAATGAAACGAAGCCATGAGATATGAAATAGATTCGCTATGCAAGAACAAAACTTGAATCATGGTTCCAAAAACCTAAATATGAAAATCCAATGAGGTGTCGATGGCTTTACAAGATCAAAGAAGGCGTGATCAGTTCAGACAAGCCTTGGTTTAATGTCATGCTAGTGGCAAAAGGCTTCACACAGTTTGAGTGAATCGTCTATACTGAAATATTCTCACCTGTGGTGAAGTACAAGACCATAAGGATTATGCTTGCATTCGTGGTCCAGTATAACTTGGAATTTCACCAAATGAACGTAAAATAATGTTTCTTCACGGCAATCTAGTATAAGTGATTTACATGCAGCAGCCACAGGATATGAAGTGCATAAAGGCCAAGACATGGTGTGTTTATTAAAGAAATTGCCATATGGTTTGAAGTAATCACCGGGTCAATAGTTAAAGCGTTTCGACATTTTAATGCTTGAGCAAGGAAACAACATGAATTCCTATGACGCATGCTTGTATTTCAAAGGAAATGAAGTACTGAAAACCATACTTTTGTATATATACGATATGTTACTGATAAGCAACTCAACTTCAAAGAATTCAGAACTCAAGAAGATTTTGAGCAAAGACTTTGATATGAAAGATTTAGGCGATTCTAAGAGAGTTCTTGGAATTAGCATCATCAAAAAAATGATTCACTGGCATTGTCACAACGTGGGTATTTGAAGAAGCTAGTTGACAAATTGGCCATGAGATATGCAAGGGCGGTGATTAAATCTTTGGCAAATCATTTGAGCCTCTCTACGAGTCAATGCCATGTGTAAGCATCAGCAAAGCAAACTATGTAAGATGTTCTATATTCAAGTGCAATTGGCTCAATCATAGGGTTAAGACCTGACATTGCCCATGCCATTAGTGTTCTTAGCAGATACATGTCAAATCCTCGCAAGCAACACTAGATGGCTATGAAGCATCTCCTAAGGTACTTGAAAGACATTACTGATGTGGGTTTGATGAACTGCAAGAGAGTCAATTCAGTTGCGGTGGAGAGATATGTAGATTTTGATTACGTTTTGGATAAAAATAGCAAGAAATCTACTACAATTTATCAACTCTTGATCAACGACAATTGCATGAGCTGGAAATCACTCTTATAGTCTTTTGTGACTTAGTCCACAGTAGAGTAAGAGTATATTGTTGCCACTGAAGTAGTGAAGGAAGGCATATGAATTCAAGACCTACTAAGGTAGTTACATGTGTTACAAGGTACATCAACACTCTTCTCCGATAACTAGAGTGTGAGGAAT